AGTCCCTGACGTGTACACCGCGTCTCGTTGACCTAACCAAGTCCCCTGAGCGAACTGGTCGGAACTGCGCCTGCGCAGTCGGGCGACTGGGACCACCGCCCCTGGTGCTCGCCTAGTTACTCCAGATTGGCGGTACCTGGATTCTGGAACCACTGTAGCAAGGTCGGAATCCGGGAAGACTTCGTCAACTTCCGTCTGTCTCAGCAGTTCCGCCTCGGACCAGGCCCACTTACCATTACACCGCAGGACAAAGGCTGCAGATCTTAGCGTCATTCACCCCGAACTACATTACCCATAGAGAGGGGCGCGTGCTTCCTGTGGATTCCCAGTTCGCCCCACCCACGGCAGCAGCCTAAACCGTTAAACTGGGCTCCAAAGTCTGCCGCCAGATCCCATGGACCGTAGCGCCGCCGTTCCACCGGAAACCTCCCATGCGCAGCCTTCCATCCACCGGTGGGACAAAGTCCACGTTCGCTAGCTGGGACTGAACCTGCACAGACATGTATCAAACTACCACTCCCAGAAGCAGCCGCGCGAACTTCCGGCCGTTTACTTGTTCACCTGACCCTGGACCGAGGCCTCACCTGTTAGGCTGGAATCCAAGTTCTGCTCCCAGACACCACTGGCCTCGGCGTCACTGATCCCCATGAAACGTCCCATTAGGCACTGTTTTGTGGAGCGGCAGGATGAAGGCCAGGCCTACCATTCTCAGGGACTTCACCCGCGTTCATCGAACTACATATCCCAGGTTGCCTTGCGTGGGTTCAGTGCGCAGGTTCCCCCACCTGTAGTATTCCTGGCCGTAGTTCGATTCCTGACACTTGTACTTTTGTCCCCTTCATAAATATTCTCTTTCCGCCCGCAGCATGGCAGTCCTTGTGGTTGTCCTAGCTTGGAGGAGAGACAGAGACAAAAATAGAAGGGGTAATAAGGAGGGAATACTGATGGAATAAAGGCAAAGTTGATTGTTCTTGGGTTTCATTCCGGGAGACAGTAAAAGGTCGGGTTTGTGTCAGCCGGGACACGTCATTATTCTCCCAATATACAGAGACTTCTGGACATTGACATAATATTTAAGTTTGTTTCTTCATGGAATACAGAAAGTACATCGCAACATTTGTTTGCATTTCGCACCAGCAAAATGTCTTTGAGAATGTGGCATGTTTGAAATCCATGCTGAAGACCAAAGAATGCTGAGGTCCATTGTGCTGCCGCATTTTGCTCCAGAGTTGCAGTCCATAGCGTTGGGAATTGGGGCCCGGTGGCTGTCACAATGGACTGTGACTCCCAGGAGGCTTTGCTCATGTGGACCCCCCCCCCCCCCGCCCCCATTCAGTTGCAGTCTACTTTGTTCAACTAACTGTCAGGAAGAACAACCGAACGGGTACGGCGGAACCTTCCCGGAGAAATAGTAGGAGCCTCAAGCTGTCAGAGATTGCTATCTGGTGGACACAGTAAACACGATTCCCTATAACTCCTGGAATTCTCAAACCAAGGATTCCGTGACACTGTGGAGCCGCCGGCCACAGCTTTCTGAATGCCGGGGCACCCGCTCAACAGTAGCCTTTGGGAATTATAGTGAGCAAAACACTTATACGTGTGGCCTCGGCTTTATAAGTGTTGGCGGGGGAGCCAAGTCTAGCACTCCCAGAGGTCTCCTCTCCCGTCGTAATCGGGCAGTCCACTGTTGGTTCCCTCGATGGGAAGGGCACCCGGGCATCGGATCTTTGTTTGGGAAGTAGAACCAGGCTCTAGGTGGCTAACTGCGCCCCCAGGTGGACAAGTTTAGTGTAACCATGATTCCTTAAAACTCGGAGAATTCTTAAACTCAGGTTTCTGGGAGCTGCCCACTGTTCCCTTCCGGAGGTCGGAAAGCACAATGAAGCAACCTCTCGGAAATGTAGTGAGAAAAAACCTTTGACGTGTGACCTTCATTAAGTGGGAGTGCCTAGACTTCAACTCCCACAAAGTGTAGCTCCCAAGTGAGTTGGATTGTCTGTGGCTGTCCACTGCCTCCTTACTTGAAAGGGCCACAGTGCCTCGAAGCCTTTTGGGGCAGCAATAGAAAGCGCTAGTTCGCCACCTGGTGGACAAGGTTGGTGTAATCATGATTTTCTATAACTCCTAGATTTTTCAAACCCAGGCTTCCTGGACTCTGCCAAGCTGTCCACCCTTGCCCTTATGCAGGTTCAGACGCTTACTCAAACGTAGCCTCTGTGAATTATATATATAGAGAGAGGTGTCTCAGTGAGTCTTGGTCCTGGCTGAGTGTCCCGGAGTGCCCGGTTCCTAGCCCACTGGCCCCCTGGAGGGACACCTGCATCACTGGCATCTCCTGGGAAATGCAATTGGGCTCAATAGTGAGGATGCTGGCAGCTCAAAACTTGACCTGTTAATTTACTGAATCCTAAAATAGTTTCAGAGTGGCTTTTCTAAAACCACTACAAGACAACAAACCTACTAAAAATATTTCAGGATTTTTTACCTTTTCCCTAACCACCACTACCACCACCACCATCCTGTTGGAGACATGGTAAAGCCGGTAAGTGGACGCTTTCTTCAACAGACAAAAAACAACCAGAACTTCCCACTCATTCTCAGGGGAAGTTGGATTGGTCCAGGAATTAGCAGCAAACGGTGTGTGCTGAGGGTCTCAACTACTATCTAAATGTGCAAGCACATGGAACATTGACAAAAGTGCAGCAAACAGGAGGTATCAGAAGGTGGCCCAAATCTCACTGATGGTATTTGGAAAGCTGAAAAATGTACAGTCCATGGGGCACTGAGCTACAACTCAAAGGGATGTCAGATATCTGGAGGGCAAGGGGCAGGCCGAGGTAGGCTGACACAAGGAATAGGCAGAGTTCATGGGGTAGGGAAAGATAAATCACATACATGGTAACCTGGCATTTCATGGGAAGAAATCTTTAAATACCATTATAAACTGAATTGCAACCACATGTTGAAGTCCAAACCCCCAATGTGACTATTTGGAGATAGGGCCTTTATGGAGATAATTTAGGTCAATTAGGGCCATAAGATGGGGCCCTAATCCTACAGGGGCCAGTGAGGGTGACCTCCACCTTTAGTCTTCTGAGATTAATAGTCTTTAACACAGAGATGTGATTGTCATGTGTACTACAAAGTCTCTGGAAAGAGTTCCATGAAAAAGATTTATGTATCAGGGACAGAGGATATGTGACAATGTAGAGGGAGCAGCCCCTGAAAAAGCAGATAGGGTGTTTCTTCAGTCCCTGAGAAAGGCAGCATGTTGTGTTTACAGCAGAACCCTCATAGTACAGATGATACAAGAATCAGCCTCATTACCCCTACCCCCAAATTTGGCATCATTTGTTGGCATGCAAGGCCCAAGAGTCTGCATTTATAACATACACACTGGTGATTTTCACATGACAAAAGTCATGGGTCCCACTGTGAGAGACTGTTTTTCAGAAAAACAAGATCTATGTGGCCAGCAGAGGGACACCTGGGTTGGACTGAGACCCAGAGGTGGGCAGATGCCAAATCTTTCAGCACCTTGTCTGTCACAGTGAGGGTTGTCTCTTTATCTGGAGTGATAGGAACCACTGGAATGTATGAAGCAAGAGTAACCCAATTGTATTTGTATTACAAACAATCTCCCAGAGAGTTATTAGTTACTATCGCTGTGTGGCAATAGTCAGAGATGGCAAGTCATTATTTAAGGGTTATGGTTGTTTTGGGACACTGCTTTTAGAATATTCAGGGTTCCATGAAATACTATGGACCTTCAAATTAAATTATAAAGAAATCCAAAAGCTTATTAAACACCACGAGAATCAATTAAGAAGTGCTTCAAGAACAAATTAATTTGTACATTTCACAGATAACTAAATCTTGCAAAATATAAGGTTTCAACATGGAAGTCCTATTGCTTATGATGGGACTTAGGAAAAATCTTGGCCTTTTTGTGCAATGGCACCATATGTCCAATGCCTGTGAGTCCTGTAAAGAAATTTATAACCAGAAAAGAGCAGAAAAGCCATTGAAGAACCTGTAAAACTTCATGGAACTTAAATTTCAAGAGTTCCTATATAAAATTTCTCCAGTAGGGCTTATTATAAGGCTTAATTTATTGTAAAATAATGCATATAACTAATTTAAAATGTTTATGCTACTCTGATACTTTGTTGTATGGGATTCAAATCTGTGAGACTGGTTGCTATGTACGTTGAACAAATAATTTACACATAGATTGGAAAACTTTGTACAGAGACAGGCAAGTATGCATGGTGATTCCATACAGATCCCATTTGCATGTGTAGAACACTCTGCCGTATTGTTTTTAGGAAATATCAGCATCAATCTGCACTATTCATAAGCACTTCTCCCCACTCAAGAAGGTAATGTGAAATAATGATAAAGTTGGACTGCACTTGGTTCTTTTACATGAAAAGCATTTGTTGGGATTCACACCATTTTGAGAATCTAAATTTTGGAATCTGTTGAATCCTTAGAAGTCATGCCAAAATCCAATACATTTTCCCACTTCTCTTTTTTTCTTTTTAAAAAATCTCACCTAAGGACATTTTTTCCACTGGTTTTACAGAAAGAGGACGGGATAGGGAAAAGAAGAGAAACACCAACTGCCTCCTGTCTGTGCCTGGGCCAGGGATCAAATGCACAGACTAGGTATGTGCCCTGACTGGGAATTGAACCTGCAATCCTTTGGCTATGGAATGACACACCAACCAAGACACTCAGAATAGGGCTTACCAGCTTTCCTTTTCTGGGTTCTATAATAGAGCATTGATGGACACTCATTAGAAGGTCTTCGACATTGATCATCTCCACATTCCCTTACTGTTAGGATGACCTGAGGAGTGTACTATGTGTGACGACATGTGTATAAATGTGTCATTTTGAACATGGGTATGATGAGTATGATTGGGTCAAGTGTTGGAAGGGATGAACTATGGCTTAAGGCTCCCTATGCCCCAGTCCATATAGAGTGCCTCTACCCAGTATGAGTTCTGTGGTGCTTAGTCAAGGAAGAGCTGTGTGTGAAGGCCTTCCCACAGTTCCTGCACTCATATGGCTTCTCGCCAGTATGGATTCTCCGGTGCTGAGTGAGGTGAGTGCTCTGCCTGAAGGATTTTCCACAATCTGGGCATTCATATGGCTTTTCCCCAGTGTGTGTCCTCTCATGCTGGCTCAGTGATGAACTGTGGCTGAAGGACTTCCCACACTCATTGCATGCATATGGCTTTTCCTTGGTGTGGATTCTCTGGTGCTCTATGAGTAGGGAGCTCTGGCTGAAAGCCCTGCCACACTCAGTACACTCATAGGGCTTCTCTCCTGTGTGGATCCTCTGATGCTGAATGAGTGGAGCGAGCTGGCTGAAGGCCCTGCCACATTCGTTACACTCATAGGGCTTCTCCCCAGTGTGGATTCGCTGGTGCTTCGTTAGGGATGAGCTGTGGCTGAAGGCCCTCCCACAGTCACTGCACACGTAAGGTTTCTCCCCTGTGTGTATCCTCTGATGTTGACTTAGGTGTGTGCTCTGCCGGAAGGCCTTGCCACACTGCCTACACTCATAGGGCTTCTCTCCTGTGTGGGTCCGTTCATGCTGGCTTAGGGATGAGCTGTGGCTGAAGGTTTTTCCACACTCATTGCACCCATAGGGCTTCTCCCCAGTGTGAATCCTCTGATGCTCAGTCAGGAGTGTGCTCTGGCTGAAGGCTTTCCCACACTCATTGCACTCATAGGGCTTCTCTCCTGTGTGTGTCCTCTGATGCTGAATCAGTGGTGTGATCTGGGTAAAGGCTTTTCCACACTCATGACACTCATAGGGCTTCTCACCAGTGTGGATTCGCTGGTGCTTAGTCAAGGATGAGCTGTGGCTGAAGGCCTTGCCACACCCTGCACACTGATAGGGCTTCTCCCCGGTGTGTATTCGCAGGTGCTGGGTAAGGTGGATACTTTGTCGGAAGGCCTTCCCACATTCACTACACTCATAAGGCTTCTCGCCTGTGTGAGTCCGCTCATGTTGGCTGAAGGAGGACCTAAAACTGAAGGACTTCCCACACTCTCTGCACTCGTAGGGCTTCTCACCCGTGTGAGTTCTCTGGTGCTGGATCAGTGGGGCAATTTGGTTGAAGTTCCTCTCACACTGCATGCACTTATAGGGTTTCTCACCAGTGTGGATTCTCTGGTGTTTAGTAAGTGCTGAGCTGTTTCGGAAGCTTTTTCCACATTCATGACATTCATAAGGTCTCTCTCCTGTGTGCGTTCGGTGGTGTTCGATGAGTGCAGAGCTGTGACTAAAGGACTTTCCACATTCCTGACATCTGTAGGGTTTCTCTGTTGCATAGGTTTCCTGTTGGACATTTGAGTTGGGATTCTCCCTTTCTCTATGCATTCCCCATATGTGGGAGGCTTGTCTTTCAGGAGTCATGGGTTGAATTGGGAGATCAGGGCTCAGACTTAAATTTTCCCCAAGTTCATTCCCCAGCTGCCGCTCCTGAATGGATGTTGTCACAGGCGTGAAGGCTGCCTGAATGCCAGCGCAATAAAGACTCTCAAAACTCTGTTCCCACTGGCCCTCAGCATCTTCAGGTTTATAGCCTGGCAGACCATACCACAGGAACCTTTCTACCAGGACATTGTTGGATATTTTTTCAGAGATGTCTTGCTTTGCAGCTGGCAATTTGGTTTTTGATCTAGTTTCTAAGTCTGAAAGAAACAACAACAAAAAAATGGAATTGTCCTTAATCTCTGTTTTGGGAATAGCAGTTTGTGGATAGGTGGTTAGAAGAATTAAAGTGACAGTTTTGAAAGTTTCAAGCACAAGTGGCTTTGATCACTTAACCATATGGCTTTACAAACCACAGAAGGAAAGAAGAGGAAGAGAAAGTACAGAAAACAGAGGAGGGGAGTTGGTATTAAGGGGTAAAGATAGAGTTGACAAGGTGGTCACAGAGAATTTGGGCAAGAAAAGATGCTGAAGAGATAGTGAGACTTCAGATGCCCAGGATTGGAGGGAGCAAAGTGATGGTCAGGCCTCAGCTAACACAGCATTGACCATGCCAGATGGTGATGGAGGAAAAGCCACCATGTGAGAAGGACCATTTATTTCTCCTGTTGCTTAGAACCAGTATCATCTTGGAGGCCCTTCACTGTTGTATCACCTTGCCACAGATGTAAAGAAACCCATCATCTCCCCAAAGTGGAAACTGCTGAACTATCACCAGGACAATCAATAAATGACTGTGGAGTAGCCCTTTGAGATGGTTTATTCTGTGTCTCACTAGCTAGGAAGACACTGGGGGCAGGGCCTTTGCCCACCTTACTAACTAGTGTACCTCCACCCACAACAGGCAGGAACAGATGTGCTAAATGAAAAGCACATGCAGTTCCTCCCCCTTCTTCCTGGTAAGAGGGCCATTTTGCCCTGGTACACAGCCTCCAACCCAACACTAGACTGGTGTAAAGGTGTGTGATATAGGCACATTTTCCATTTATGCCACACTCCATTGTAAAGCTAAGGGGGAGAAAACAGTCCAGTCAAGTGCAACTGTCAGCACAGTGTCTTAGAAAGAACCTAAGCCCCGAACCTGGGAGTATTCTATGACCTTGCATGTGAACAAGGAATTACGGTTGCTAATCATTTGCCATTAGTCCATCACTGAGATTATCTTGGATTTTTGAGGTGGCCCCCCTGTAACCACAGGGTTCTAAAATGTGAAAGGGGCAGGAGAGTCAGGGTCAGGGTGACCTGATGTATTAAGATCTGACCAGTCGCTGCTGGCACTGAAGATGGACAAGACCGTGTGTCCAGGAATGTAGCCTCAAAATGCTAGAAAATGAATGAAAATGGATTCTCCCCAGACCCTCCAGAAGGAATGCTGTTCTGATGACCCCTGATTGCAGCCTAGTCAGACCCATTTTGGACCTGGTTCTTCTAAACTATAAGATCATTTGTTACTTCAAGTACTGCATTTGTGGTAATTCATCACAGTGGCAACAGGAGACTAATATACCGGGTGAAAGCTGGTTGTTATTATTATTTTTATATTATTTTTTCATTTATTTGTCTGTTTAGAGAGGAGAACGGAAGGAGAAAGACAGGGAGAAACATCGATTGGCAGCCTTTCATACATGCTCTGACTAGGGACCAAATCAGCAACCCAGGCATATGCTGTGACCAGGAATTGCACCAGAGGGACAACCTCCAACCAACTGAGCCACTCTGGACAGGACTGCAGGCTAGTTATTATTTGAGGGAGGGGAAACCCTGCTGTGACTTCCCTCCCATACACTGTACATCTTTCTGGGGCATTGGCTAAGGGCTACTGCTTACATGCATTCACGGCTTGATGCCAGTGGGAACAGTCTGCTAGAGTGCAAAGACACCCCCACTTCTTATAGAGGTGCTTGCCAGTCTTGGGAGCTGGGCAGCAGGTATGAAGAGCAGAACCACCCAGCCAATCTACAAGCACGTGGAAGAGCCAGGCCTAGAGCCATGACACACAGATGCCTGAGTCATAAGTGAGCACTGAAGTTTAAAGCACTGAGGGTGGAGTGTCTGTTACTCATTAAGAAACCTGCATCCCCCACCCCTGCCAGTGCCTCTGTGCCTGCTGTTTCTTTCCCCTGGAAGCTGTTTTCCCAGGCATTCTTTCATACATGCTTTCATACTCCATTGTTTCATGGAGTCCCTGTTCTCACAATTCAGGCTTTAGCTCCCATGTCATCTTGGCTCTCTCATCTTTCTGCTCAAGTCCTCCCCTTAATTCTAGTCTCCACCTCCTCACCTACTTTCACTTTCTCAGCATTCACCATAATCTGTCACCATCCTATTCACTGTTGTTATTATATTTTTAGTTATGTATTGTGTGCCCCTCTCCTTCACCAAGGATGTAAATTCAGGGAAGACAGGAATTTGGTCACTCATGAGAGAATGGTGGTTGGTGAGCATTCACTAAAAATTGAGTAGTCAGTGTGCTCTGAGGAATTTGAGATCAGATATGGATCTCAGGGATCTTTGGGGGTGAGTGGGGTCCTCCCAGCCCTACACACTGTCATCTGACCTAGACACACACCTTGTGGGACCTCTTCATCCATAGGCCATGGCTCCACCTCCTGCTCCAGCAGGGAGATGACGGGAGGCTTCGGAAGCCAATGTCCCAAACAGGGGGAGACTCAGGGCATGAGCAATTGTGTACCAGGGCCCTTCCCAATCCTCTGCTCGCTGACCTTTCAGCCTTCCAGGACCCAAGTGGCTGGTAACCTCAAAGACCGAAGTTTACTGTGGTAATAGACTCCAGTGTCCTTCCACTGTCAGTACCTGACCCCCACCCCTAGCTCAGTGAGGGACATGTAACTCCAACCTGGGAACCCAGAGAGAGCTCTTCTTCCACTGCCACTGGCAACAATGACCACTGTGGCAAGGACCTTGTGGCTGAGCAAGATGGCAGTACCCTTCTGTGAATGGTGGCAGAAAGAGGTACAGAAGGAGGAAGTGTGGAAGGAGGGGGACTCCTGAGAGCAATAGAGGAAGACCCAGTTCTAGCCTGAGATTCTGCAGTTCTGGGACCCAGTGTGTCCCTCTTACCCGACATATCCTGCCTCTGGCATTTTCAGGTGGCATGTGTAACTTGCAGGGGAAACATCCTCATTGATAATCCCTAAATCTAAACAGTGTGTTCCCTCAGGCCCAAGACACATCTAAATTATCTGGGTTGAATGCCTAGACATACTCCCACTTTTAATCCAGGAGAATTAGAGTCCACACCAGAGGAGACCATGAGGGGCATGGGTGTGCCCTTACCCACGGAGACTAGGAGCCTGAAAGTCTCCAGCATCACACTGCAGTACAGGGTCCTCTGTGCAGGCTCCAGCTGCCCCCACTCCTCCTGGGTGAAGTCCACGACCACATCCTCAAAGGTCACTTGCTCCTGTAATATCACACAGGACTTTCCTCAGCCAGAGCAAGCCTGGCACTGGCTGCTGGTGGGAGCAGCTGGCCATGTGAGACAAGGCCAAGTTGGTTGTTGGGGGGGTTCTCTCAAGTCTGGGAGGCTGGGTTGTGAGGATGGTGGTGTACTCACCAGGAACCCTGAATCCAGAAGCCCAGTGGTCATTCCCTTCTCCTCTGGTCTCTTGCAGGAAGCCAGTGTCTCTACAAGCAGCTCTGGGGTGGGGGGAAGGGAATGTGAGACTGAGCTGGCACCTATGGTTACCAAAGACCCCAAGTGTTAGAACCCCTACCCAGAGGTAGAAGGAGCTGTGGCTGCCAGACCCAGGGGCCCAGCTCCCATGCCAAACCCGAGCAGTGTCTCTCAGCTTGGCATTTCCCAAGCACCTGCTGTGAGTCTGTGCTATTCCAGGCACTGTCGAAGAATGATCTCAGATTTACCCACATCATTTCAAAGAGAGGGAAACTGAGGACCAGGGTGGGCAAGGGACACACTCCTTGTAGCAGATGACTTCCCGGGTGTTGATTATTTGCTATCATGACAAGAAGCCAGACAGCTTATTACAATTACAATTATTTAATTCAATTACATGAATTAGAGTGTGAGAAAGTGAAAAAGGAGCAGAACAGCAGTTTACACATGACAGCGTCTTCTGCTGGGAGGGAAGCCTCACTTATCAGTGAGCACCTATTTAGCATCTAAGACATACATACTATTATGTTTTTGGTTTACAAGATCGACGCTGTCTGATTGCCCAAAATGAAATTCAGGTCTAAGGTAGGATGCCTTTCCTTTGCTGCTGCATCTTCCCTTGATGACCTTGACTGTGTATCCCAATTCTGCCTCATCCCATCTGTGCTGTGTTGTCCTCACTGCAGTACCCAGGGTAGGAGTTTTCTCTGTGCAGAGGTTCATGGACACAGAACAGGGCCTGACACTCCTGAGTGTCACCTAAATACGTGTTTGATGAATTAATAGAAGAGCATGGATGGTGTCTGGCATGCAGTCAGTGCTCAGTAAATTTCATATAATGAGTCTGTTTTCTGGGTCCTGGGCGACCTGGATTAAAATGTGTTTTTGGTCTCCTTTATTAGGAACAGAAGGCTCCTAAAGAAGGCGAGACTGCATTTCACTCCATGGTGGGACCTAGGCATTCCCCACTCTCAGAATCCCTAACGTCCCCATTAAAGCGGGCGATGGATGCAGGCCAGGCTCACTCCATTCTCTGAAGGGTCAGGTCGGCTATCTCTCCGATTGTGCCCCCAAGACACGGAAGACTGACCACTGGTGCCAAAGACAGGACCTCACCCATCGTCCTCTGGTACCCTGAAACCCCCAACTCTTTACCAGGCCCCGCCCACTCCGCCTTGCTGCCCCTCCCCCGATGAAAGCCGCCAAGGCCCCGAGGAACAAATGGACTTGTGACAATCACGCACGGTTCAGTACACACCACGGCCGGAGACCCAGAGAAAACGCCGGAACCCCGACTAGGTCGACCTCGGCTGACCCACCGTCCATTCCCAAACTCGCTTATAGGCAGAACGACCTCACAAAGGCCCTGGTCGCTACTGGCCACGATTGCGCCTGCGCCAGCAGGGAGCGAACTACAGCTCCCAGGTGGCAGCGCGCTCACATCCGGTTACTCCAGCTTGCTCCGCCCCCACACGGGGCTCCAGAAGAGTATCAGCAAGGTCGGCCCCCGAGATTACCCTCGTGGACTCAGCCAGTCAGCCGGCCCCAGGACCGCTCACTGTTAGATGGCCGCACAAAGGCCGTGGCCATCGTGTCAGTGGGAGCTTGAACTATATCACCCAGAGGGAGTCGCGCCCTTGTCTGGTCATGTCGGTGTTCCCACCGCCCAGGGCAACAGCCTGAACTGTTAGGCTGGGTTCCCATTCCTGCTCGCAGACTCCTCCTCCCTCAGCATCACAGTCTCACCTGAAAGGTCCGACTGAAAGGTCTCTGTCGTACTTCGGAAGGACGAAGGTCACGTCCGCTATTCGCTGAGACTGAGTCTACTCCAGTGGGCATCGAACTACAACTCCTGGAGGGCCACGTGAGAATTTCATCGGTAGCTTTTCCCTCTTGTGGGATTATTTGCTACCGAAGTCCTGTACCTGGTACCAGTACTTATGTCTTCATAAATTTCGCTTTCTGCCTGCAGCATGGCGGTTCTTGCGGTCGTTTCCCCAATTGGGAGGAGATTCACATAAAGAAGATGAAGGTGACAAAAAGGGGGAGAAATGAGAGATATGGGGAGAAAGTTCGATTTTCCCTTCGGTTGCATCCCTGGAAACAGAAAGCATGGGTCAGGGTGGAGCAGTACACACTTTATTTCCCTCCCAATATGGAGGGACTCCCGGCAGGGACATAACATTTGAGTCTTTTTCGAATATAGAGAAAGGTCATGACATTTATTTTGATTCATTCCAGTATGGTGTATTTGTGTAGGTGGCATATTTGAAGTCTTTGCTGAAATCTGAACATCAGTGGAGGTGCCTCCAGCCTCGGGGTTGCCCATGGCCTTCTGGGAGGTGTGGTCCACAGCTCTTTGGGGAAGGGTCAAGCCCTGAAACAGTGGACCACAACTCCTTCGTTTTGTCAATTTGTCTGGAAGCGCCCCACTATCTCCTACCATAGTGAGGAACACCCTTGCCACAGAGCTTCTGGGAGAAGTATACGGGGTTCTATGTATCTGATATCCACGCTTGGTGGAGACTGGTGTCACCGTGAGTCCTTGTAACCCGTGATTCTCAAGCCCGGGTTTTACAAACTCTGCAGAGTCTCCGACTCTGACTTTCTGAAATTCAGAATTCATGCCCAACCGTAGCCTCTCGGAATTAAAGTGGGAAAAAGCCTTCTCAGTGCTGCCTAGGGCTGGCCAGAGTGTCTGGACAACAAGTTCCAGGAGAGCCCATGTCCGGTCCAGGCCCAGTCGTGGGTACCTCACTGATTTTCTGGGAAAAGCAGTCTGGCTCTCTGGGCACTCAGTTGCCGGGACTGTAGGACTGGGGTAGGGCTGGGGCCATAGGCCTACAACTCCCGTTAGCCTGGCTGCACGCTCTTATAGAGAACCGACCCCCGCGCCCCTGTCCCAGAATTCACTTGGGCTTCGACTCACCTTGTCTGCCTGGAACCCTTCCTACTGAGGAAACGGGGGCGATAGGTCTCCGCATCGGAGGGGAAGTGCGAAGGGCTTTTCTCTCACGGGTTTCACCCCCGAGTCAGAGGAGACTGTTGTGGGCTCGCAGCCATCCGTCCCAGGGTGCTTGGCCGAGTTCCCTAGCTCCTGACTGGCTAGACTTGAGGAGTTTGCGTTTTTTCCCCACAGCTAGGTGGGACCTTGCCTGGAAACCCCACCCTTCCTTTGAACAGCGCCACAGTCTGTCACCTTGTCCACGGAGAGAAACAAGAAGCAGTAAATCTGAGTCTTGGGGTCCTTAAAGTACCAACAAAGTCTTCTAGCCATTTAAGATCGAGTCCCCAAACCTGCGGACCTAGAGGGCTTCAGCCACCGAACATTTAAAGACGGAATAATTCTGGTCTTCCCACCACCTGGAGTAATTTGTCTGGAAGAGAGAACATTTCTCCCCACTTGTTTATATATGAATTGGTTGGTTCTGAAATATATATATATATAGATTTTAGAGAAGAGGAGGGCAGAGAGAGAAACAGCAATTTGTCATTCCAGTTATTTTTGCATTCATTGGTTGCTTGTTTTGTTGTGCCCTCACTAGGATGAAAGCGAAACTGGCTATTTGGACAATGTTTTAATCAACTGAACTAAGGGGTCAGGGCATCTCAATTTTTTATTTTTAATCCTCAAAATCAATGTTTATTGATTTTAGAGAGAGAGAAAGGGGAAGAAAAAGAGAGAGAGAGAGAGTTCTCGTGCACTTGCAACATCAACGTGAGAGAAATATAGATAGGTTGCCTCCCACACACAGCCCATGCAGAGGATCAAATAGGGAAGCTGGGTATGTGTCCTGACTGGGATCCAACCAGCAACCTTTTGGTGTAGAGGATGCCATTACAACCGACTGGACTATCTAGCCAGGGGAATCTCCGTGGGTTTTAATGATGCCAGCATGATTGTGATTCCAAAACCTGGACACTTTGTGGGGGGAAAGCAAACAGAAAGTCCCCAGGAATTAAGAACACCTTCCTTAGACTGTTGTGAGGATTAAGTGAGTTTCCAAGAATTGGGGTGCTTACTTAGTACAGCCCCCAGCCTGGAAAAATCTTGACAAATGTTTACATTGTTATCAGCAGATATTAACAATATCATTTTTTTTATAGTTGGTGGTATAAAAAGGAAGGGAACTGTACATTTCCATTTTTCAGAAGATCACTAGTTGATTAAGAAGTAGGAAAGATTCTTAGGGGTCACATTTTCAGCTTTGTGGGGATCTCTAAAATGGCTGACCCCAGGTACCTCCAGGAAGGCTCCTGTGTATCCCTGAGAAACAGGATCCTTTATTTTTATTTTTATTTTATTGATTTTAGAGAGAGAGAACATGGATGTGAGAGAGAACCAATCAGTTGTGTCTCCCCACACCAACTGGGAATTGAACCCACAACCTTTTGGTGTATGGGATAATGTTCCGAACAGCTGAGGCACCTGATCAGGGCAAGTGGAATTGAGGACATTACTCTGTGCACCTGGGTCCTTCCTCATATTGTATGTACCCTTCTCTCTTCCCCTCACTGACCTTTGCAGAGATAAGAGTTTTTGTTCAGTATACGTTTCGGTGACATTTCAGAAGCAGGTAACCTGGTCTTTAAAGTCAATGTTAGTGTTTTCCTTCATATCTACCATTTCTTGTACTGTTCATTGTCTTTGACATACTCATATTTCTATCTGGAATCATTTTCCTTTAGCCTGAGGGATCTTTATCATTCCTTCTAGAGTGACAAAATTCCCTTACTTTGTGTTTGCCTGAAAATGCTTTTATTCCATCTTCATTTTGGAAAGTTACTTTTAGTAGAGATTTTTAGGTTGGCAGTTTTTTTCAGTACTTTAAAGACACCATCTATTGTCTTCTGGACCCCATAATTTCTTTTGAGAAATCAGTCTTCCAACTTATTGTTACTTTGAAGATAGTGGACCTTTCATTGCTTTAAATATTTTTATTTTGATTTTTAAAAATTAATCTTTATTTTTTCCACTACCATTTAGCCCCCTTATACCTGGATTCTCCCTCTTTTTTTTTTTTTTTAAATCCTCACCTGAGGACTTTTCATTGCTTTCAGAGAGAGAGAGAGAGAGAGAGAGAGAGAGAGAGAGAGAGGAAGGGAGAGAGAAATATATCGATGTGAGAGAGGAACATTGAGCGGTTGTCTCCTGCATGCACCCAGACCAGGGATGGAACCTGCTGCCTAATGGTGTGTGGGGCAACACTCCAGACTCCAACCATCCAAGCCACACTGGCCAGAGCTATGAACATTTTTGTGCAATGCTTTTAGAGGACCTATGTTTTTATTTCTTTTGGGTAAATATCTGGGAATGGAATTGCTGACTGATAGATTAACATGGTCTTTTTTTATTATTTTTTTCTCTTTTACAGTTCTTTTTTTTTATAACATACTAAGAAATCTTTGACTATGCCAGAATCACAAAGCTGTTCTCCTATTTTCTTCTAATTCTTTTATAGTTTTTGCTTTTACATTAGAAGCCGTGATTCACCTTGAATTAATTTTTATGTAAGTGGAAGGTTGTAATCAAGTCATTTATTTTTTCTTATGATTATCCATTTTTTCAAAGACTATTTATTGAAAACCTTTCCTCTCTTTTATTGTATTAGACTGAAGCCTCTGTTAAAAATCAATTGAAGTAAATTTTTAAATCAGTCGAATGTATATGTGTAGATCTGTTTTGCTCCTTTCTCCCCTTCCACTGTTCCACTTTTGTCCAGCTCTGTGTCAACATCATATGGCTTAATTATTGTGGCTTCACAGTAAATCTTGAAATCAGGTAGTGAAGTCAACCTCTAATTCTTTTGTTTTTATTTAATAATTGTCTTTGCTATACCAGGTCATTAGCACTTTCATATTTATTTTATCTTATTATTTTCTTAAAGATTTTATTGATTTTAAAAGAATATTTTATTTATTTCTTTGTTTGTTTGTTTATTTATTTATTTTTAGAGAGAGGGGAAAGGAAGGAGAAAGAGAGGGAGAGAAACATCAATGTGTGGTTACCTCTCACACACCTTCAACTGGGGACATGGCCTGAAACACAGGCATGTGCCCTGACTGGGAATCAAACCAGCGACTCTGGTTCTCAGGACGGTACTCAATCCACTGAGCCACACCAGACAGGGCGTATTTTTATTTTAGAATTAGCTTGTCAACTGGAAGTTATCAAACTTGTAAATCCACATCATTCCTACTTGAATTTTGACTTTTTTGCCTTAAATCTGTAGATCATTTTGGGAAGAATTTACATCTTGACATGCTGAGCCTTCAGTTTTGTGATCATGGTATATTTATTTAAGTACTTCAACTTCTCTTAGCAATATTTTACAGTTTTTAGGTATACAGATCTTGCATAACTT